CATTTGGTTGGTAAAATTCGATAGGTATAATTTATAATTTTGTGATCTTGCTTTTTGTGACATCAAGATGTAAAATAGAAAGATGACGCTGAAATCTTTAAATACTTGTCTTTTCTTGTCTATCGAGGGGTTGCAAGTGTTGCCATTGCTGCTGCGAAAGCAAGTTGTTAATTTCACGGCTGTCATCCTATATGTCATCTCTTGCTACTAGTTGACGTTTGAAAGGGAGTACCTTGTATGTTGGACATATGGGGGCGGGGGAGTTCACCATTCACTTTTGCCCCAGGGACCGGGGAGTTCACTGGCTCTCACATGCATAAAAAGTGAATGCCCCGCTAATGCCCGAGGGGGGGGGGGGTCCGGGGGTTTCAAATGACTGGTGCATTAGTTGTTTTTGTTTTGGAATAACATCGACATTGGCGAGTAGCAGAACAAAAATATAATTCAGTGGTAGAGTCATGGAAGTAATAAAAGAAACCCTTTGAAAGAGATGTTTGTCTACTCCAACTAAACCTCCCGCAAAAATAGCGACATTTGCCTCTCGGAGACAGCGTACCAGCACAAAGGAACGAGGAAGAAGTGCAAGAAAACAAATCAGCTACCATAATTCAGTGACAGCGGCAGTGTCTAATGTACAAACCACATCGCAAGCCCTGACCGAAGTCGAAAACAAGCGACATTTCTAAGCAGAGTCCCAGTCCACTGCATCACACCTTTTTGCTCGGACGCGCTCGTTTCACCGCCCAACCTTTATCCGCCCTGGTACAGCCTCCTCCTCAGGCGCTTCGTTTTTCGCATGGCAGAGGCGAGCGCGAAACGAGTGACTGGTGATGAACCGCAAGGGACCATGGGAAGGGTAGAGACAGCGGGCGAAGCGCCTGCCAGATCTTGTGTCGTTTTCTTGGCAAAAAAGTCGTTTTCTTGGCACGGCCCAATTTTTGGTCTTTTTAAGTCTTGGAAGCGATCAATTTTAGTAGCATATTGTTGTAAAAATTGTAAACTTTGAGTAGACAGGTGAATTGCTCAAAATTTCCGAAACCTGAGGTAGAAATAATCGACTGGCTGCAAAGGAGTCGGATTCTGCTGGATTCTTACGAATCGAAGACCTCTAACAAAATATTTGATGACTTGACGGTATCGGGTAAGTCTTATATTTTAGTATTTAATTTGTCGTTTATTGCAGAATCCGGATTAGTAAAGTACAGCGCCGGCGACTATGTTTCTATTTTTCGCTCTTTTAGGCCAAACCCACCGAACAACGAGCAAGTAACCTTGTGAATTGAAAGAAGTGCAAGGCCTAGCTAAATTGTGCAAGGTCAGGAGTTGATTATCAAGACCACATTATGTCTTTACACCAAGATTTAAGTCTGCGACGTTACTAACTATGAAACCAGGGACAGATGGATATTTTTGACAAAATAAATAAAAATGCATAACTTGAATTGTTGAAGCTTACAATTACCTAACTCTCGGTATAAGATCCCTAGATTCTCGAGGGATAAGTAATGAACTTTATTTTCGGATCAGGGAAGGGGTTGAAGAGAAGGAAGGTGCCAGCATTGATTAATCAATTATTTTGGACTACCCCTGTCAATCTTGATGCGGGAAACGAAAATCTCCAGCTGTAAAGGCAGTCTTTTCTAGCTTAATTTTTTTTAGTATTTTTAATTATTAAATAAACACCAATGATGTACCAGGTGAGCTTTCACGCGAAAACTAGGTATCTTCACATGTGAAAATAACATGTTATCTTACATAATAAATCGCGCCTTTCACACCAAAAAACTATGAAAGTGAAATGGTTTGGTATTTCATTGGTGTTTATATAACAAATAGAACATTACATGGCCGCTTGGAGATACGAAATTTCTCTTCTCGTGTTGAAAAAATATTTCACTTGTTCGCTACGCCCACTCATGAAATATTTTTCAACACTCAAAGAGAAATTTTGTATCTCCGTGCAGCCATGTAATATCCTCTATATATTGTACAATAATTAATGCTAAAATATATTCATCGATTTTATCTTTTGTAAGAGATTTTGTTATTGCTATCATTAGTTTTAACTTTATTCCATTTCATTTATGGGTGTAAATATTCATATTCCTTGCGATTCGATTCGATTATTGCCTTTCGATTTCGATTCGATCATGTAAACATTTCTTAATTCTTATAACATAACGTGATAACACGCAGTGTAAACAGCATGCAATCGTAAACCCTCAATATAACAATAGTAACAGAGACAGGAAGATTCACAGTCGCTTGGTTCGTCGCCATGTTTGAGAACCTGATAAAGAGTGTGTTGCACATGGTTAATTGCCCTATTTGGAAATTCTCAAGGGGAGGCTGAAGGACAGCATTTTTGCCAGGCAACTCAAAATGGCGCATGAACTGCTATTGTCTTTGCTCGTCAATCAAAAACACTCATTAAAGAGTTTTGGATTCTTGTTTTAGACTATAATAACTCACTGAGGGCACCCTGGAAAAGGTGTGCAAAAATTGAACCAAAATCGAAATGCGGAAGCAAAGAATCCTGAATTGAACTGAACGGTCATAATCACGATTAATCAAGAATTTGATTAATTGTTACACTACTAATTTTATTTAGCTAGATGTCTGGCATGATGGCACCCCTATTGCAAGACTAAAAATGTTTGAATAAAGGTTGAATAAAGTATATAGTTCAGTTAAAACACTATGATTCAATGACCACAACTCCAGGTCTGTAGTCTCAATGTAACTTTATTGGGACCCACAAATGTAAAAGAAGGGGAAAGGGCTTAACCCTTTTTTAACAGAAGTCAGTTCAATGACAACATGCCTATTCAATAATCTCAGTAGCCCATGCACAGCAATTTTTTCTGAGGGGAAGGGGCAATTATACACATGCTTTTATCACAGTATTAGTTCAAAAAACACACATCAACCCAATTTCCATTGTCCAAAATCAGGGAATTATAGGAGCAAAGTATTTTATTACTTTGGGCAAGACAGCTAGATCGAGTTTAAGTTGGATTAGGGGTGCAGGTGCAGGTTTTCTCTTTTGCTGACCATAGTTCAATGACCTGACCACATCTCAGTTCAATAATCTTGGTAGAAGTTCATAAAACATACATCAATTCAATGTCCAGTGACACTAATTTAAGGAATAGGAGCAATATTTTCTATTTCTCTGGGTGAAGTCGAAGCAATGGAAAGGGGTGAGGGTTTTGCATGGCTGAGCTTCTGGTCCATACATAAAACAGCTGGCATTTTTCATTGCTTGACACTGTTAATAGACCTGACATTAGCCTACTAATAGTGTAGTGTAGTGTTTTTTACTGCATATTCTTCCAGTTTGTCCAGGGGCCTGTTTTTACTGTTCTTTCCATTCAATGCTTGTATTTTGATTATAATTTTGTAGTTAAAATTTCTAGGAAGGGGGTTGGGGGTTAGTAGTTATGCAGAACCATTTATACTTATCTTAACGTTTTTTGCATTTCAACGTAATTCTGTGCCCATTGATAATTATTAGATGATCTTGTATTCCTCTGCAACTCCAAAGCAGGTCAAAAACTAACCCTTCAGAAGACTTTTGAGGGGAATTTTATGCTACCACAGGATTGCCAAGAAAGGAACCATGTATAAGCAATCACAGGAACAACAATGTTGAATCTGGGTAGAATGATCCCAAGAACTTCATAATACTCAGTCTTTCCTACCACCATTTGGCACTGGGACAATGCAATCATCATTCTCTAAAATGGCATTCACAGCATCTTGTTTGCCATGAAATTGGAAATATTCAAACACAATTATTTTTTTAAAGAAAGTGTCTAGGACAACGTCTCCTGTCTGGCCAAATGGTATTTACGATGGTATCTCATCAACTACATCGCCCTCTTCAATCAGGGTAACAAAATTGTCTATCAAATTAAAACCAAAGTTACCAATAATTTATTTATTAAGACACAAATGATGTGTTATAAAAGGGCATGACAAAACCCAATTGGTCTACTGTGTAATATCACAAAAACAAATAAAAAACAATACAGACAATAAGTATTTGCTGCACATTCGACACAGCTTCATCATAAAATGAGGTATATAAATAAAAAGTAAGTAGAATTTATTTACACCGGGCTGTGCATTCAGTGACAAGTCTAGTACCCAGTGAGGTAATCGAACAATAAAAAGCTACAAGTAAAAAAAACCTAGACCTAGTTTTGTAGCTGTTTTTCCTGCACATAAGCTTACATTGTCGAGCAAATGATACACAATGCGAAATCCTGAGACAAAAATTTAACAGATTTATAAAATATTTTATCATGTATTTAATAACATAACTTAGAGGTCTTGAGATTAGACTGGTTTGTTGCCTTTTCGAGTACTCAAGATACAGCGTGCAGCGAATAGTATTTTAAAGCTTTACAAAATATTTGGCTTCATTTGGCTGTTGCAACAATTCTCAGCTCGCCATTTTTCACTTGGACAGAAGAGATCGTTTCATCACTCGGGACCTTAACAGAAACGACTACTAAATTACTAACTTACTAATTTTCCTGACCGGCTGTTACCTTGGCGTGCGGTAGTTTCATTAAATTAAAGGCAGTACCGTCCCGTCCGCGGCTAGTAGTTTTTCGATTTAAAGTTCGGTAGTAAATATTATGTAGTTCGGTAGTAAACATTATGACGCTTGAGTTCAATGTGTGGGGTGAAAACAGCTTCCTCTTCATACACACGACCTGGATAGGCAATGATTTGCCCAAAATTCGCAAAATGAACAGCGCTGAACTTATTTTAAAAACTGCATATTCGTCCGCCATTGCTCTTGCCGCCATCTTGAAAACAAGATCTGCGAGACGTCGCGCCCATTGTCTCCTTCCCGCCTTCCTTTGCGCGCACATTTTCATCAAAAGAGAGACGTCTGGGTACGAGGCAGGCCCAACCTTTATCCGCCCTGTTGACGAGAGTGCAAACTTCGTATACCTTGTAATCAGAAAGGTGCAATCACTGGAATGGCTACTCTTGATGATAACTGGCAGACAAAACGTTCAACTATCAGCGAGAGAACCAAATTTATTTTCAATAACGAATTATTAAGTGATGTGAAGTTCGTAGTTCCTGCTTCGCACAACGAAAGTGAAAGCCGGAAGAGTCAGAAGTACATTCCAGCTCACAAGTTTATACTTGCAATCAGCAGTCCTGTTTTCTATGCCATGTTCTACGGTGAAATGGCAGAGACTGCAGGCACTATTCAACTACCTGACTGTGATTATGAGAGTCTCTTAGAGTTGTTTCGTTTTCTGTACAGCGATGAAGTGAACTTGAGCGGAAGTAATGTCATGCAAGTTCTCTACTTGGCAAAGAAATACTTGGTACCTTTACTCGCTGATAAGTGCACTGAATATCTTCAGGAACATCTAGAGGCGTCGAATGTGTTCTCCGTCCTGCCGCAAGCTCAGAAATTTGAGGATAAAGATTTGGAAGAACGGTGCTGGAAAGTAATTGAAGAGGAAACCGAGAATGCCTTGACGTCGGAAGAATTTGTCACGCTTGAGAGATCTGTTGTTGAGTCTGTGGTAAAAAGGGAGAGATTGAATGTAAAGGAAGTGGATTTATTCAAAGCTGTTGATCGCTGGGCCACTAAAGAAGTGGAAAGGCAAAGACTATCCCCTGATGGCAAAGTCAAAAGAAGGATTCTTGGAGAGGAAATGGTGAAAGCAATAAGGTTTCCAGTGATGTCTCAGAAAGAGTTTGCTTCGGTTGTTGTGGATTGTGAAATTCTGACCAAAAAAGAGATTGGTTTCATGATGAAACACTACGGTGGTGTCTGTTTAGAGTCTTCTTTACCATTCATACATTCCCCTAGACAGTATGGAACTGGGCTTCAGCATCGTATTTACAGATTTACAAAACTAAGCCCGCCAGATATGCCTAATGGTTCATGGCACTACACTGGTGGTAATTCTGATGTCCTTAAACTGACTGTCAGTAAACCTTTCAAGTTACATGGAGTGCAGCATTTTGGCAGTGAAGATAATGAATACACAGTTTCATTAGAAGTGAAAGATGTGGCAAAGAGATTTTCCCTGGTAAAACTGATGGACACATATTCCTCAGAGAAAGATGAGACAAATGTTTACTATGGATTTGATGTCATGTTTGACCACCCAGTTTGTCTTGAGCGGGATAAAACGTATGAGATCGTCTCTCTCATCAGGGGCCCACCATCTTGGTATGTGACTGATGGGAAAGAATCTGACGAGGTTCAAGGAATCCAGTTTTCATTTAGCCGTTCAGCTGCTTCTGCTAATGGAACTGACGTCAATAATGGCCAGTTTCCTGCACTTATTTTCAGCACAATGTAGTTTTTAAAATTTCTTAATGATGATAATGGATTTTTATTGTGTTGATCGTTTGAAGTGGTACTTCGCAACTTTTAGTTTAAGGAAAATTAATTAAGCAAGCGAGAATCTTGTTAGGAGTAAAGGATACTCCACTCTACCAATGCCTCCTTGATTCCTAGACTAGCTACCACCCATTGTTAGGGTACTTGCAGAATTGTAGTGGTGGCACGTACACTGGTCAGCCGAGCTAAGCCAGGAATGAATTGCAAATACAGTTGAACCTCTCCACAATGGCCATCTTTGGAACAGACGAAAGTGGCTGCTGTAGAAAATTTTAAACAAGAGTTGCAATGTATGGCCCGTCCACCAAAAAAGTGGCCATTGTTCAGGGGTGGCCGTTAGTGGAGCTTCAACTTTTGAGTCTGTTAAACCCTCAGCCGATAAATTGCATGTTAGTTCCCAGCTGTCAAGTAAGACTACGAACTCCCTACACGTTTTGTTATTACTGATCTAAAAGTAGGGAAGAGTAAAATAAATCCAACACAGGAAGATGACTGATTTGTAAGACTTATTTGATATTTAAAATTCTCAAGAAAATCGATCTAAAAATAAACTGGTCTAACTTTGTTAACGTTGTTGCATCACAATTGAGTTGATCACTCCAGTTTATGGGCTCCTAGTGACTATGACCAATTCTCTCTTCTTTTTCACAGTTAGTAGGGTGGCACCCTTACAAGGCAACTAGTGCAGTATCTTATTGTCCATGGCCTCCTGTCATTCTTTCAAATTTGTTTGAAGAACAGTGAAGTCAAAACCACCCATATTACAGCTGTACCTTCCTGGATTGTTGCGTGCATTTTTTCCGACAACCTTTCTCAAAATAACCATCTGTTACTCTGTCTTATTGTACATTGCTGTAAGTTGACATCTAGTGTTGGTCCTTGTTATTCTCTAGTCTTTTTCTTTCACTCTCTGTGAGTGCTGTTACTTTTGCTGCACATTCGACACAGCTTCATCATAAAATGAGGTATATAAATAAAAAGTAAGTAGAATTTATTTACACCGGGCTGTGCATTCAGTGACAAGTCTAGTACCCAGTGAGGTAATCGAACAATAAAAAGCTACAAGTAAAAAAAACCTAGACCTAGTTTTGTAGCTGTTTTTCCTGCACATAAGCTTACATTGTCGAGCAAATGATACACAATGCGAAATCCTGAGACAAAAATTTAACAGATTTATAAAATATTTTATCATGTATTTAATAACATAACTTAGAGGTCTTGAGATTAGACTGGTTTGTTGCCTTTTCGAGTACTCAAGATACAGCGTGCAGCGAATAGTATTTTAAAGCTTTACAAAATATTTGGCTTCATTTGGCTGTTGCAACAATTCTCAGCTCGCCATTTTTCACTTGGACAGAAGAGATCGTTTCATCACTCGGGACCTTAACAGAAACGACTACTAAATTACTAACTTACTAATTTTCCTGACCGGCTGTTACCTTGGCGTGCGGTAGTTTCATTAAATTAAAGGCAGTACCGTCCCGTCCGCGGCTAGTAGTTTTTCGATTTAAAGTTCGGTAGTAAATATTATGTAGTTCGGTAGTAAACATTATGACGCTTGAGTTCAATGTGTGGGGTGAAAACAGCTTCCTCTTCATACACACGACCTGGATAGGCAATGATTTGCCCAAAATTCGCAAAATGAACAGCGCTGAACTTATTTTAAAAACTGCATATTCGTCCGCCATTGCTCTTGCCGCCATCTTGAAAACAAGATCTGCGAGACGTCGCGCCCATTGTCTCCTTCCCGCCTTCCTTTGCGCGCACATTTTCATCAAAAGAGAGACGTCTGGGTACGAGGCAGGCCCAACCTTTATCCGCCCTGTTGACGAGAGTGCAAACTTCGTATACCTTGTAATCAGAAAGGTGCAATCACTGGAATGGCTACTCTTGATGATAACTGGCAGACAAAACGTTCAACTATCAGCGAGAGAACCAAATTTATTTTCAATAACGAATTATTAAGTGATGTGAAGTTCGTAGTTCCTGCTTCGCACAACGAAAGTGAAAGCCGGAAGAGTCAGAAGTACATTCCAGCTCACAAGTTTATACTTGCAATCAGCAGTCCTGTTTTCTATGCCATGTTCTACGGTGAAATGGCAGAGACTGCAGGCACTATTCAACTACCTGACTGTGATTATGAGAGTCTCTTAGAGTTGTTTCGTTTTCTGTACAGCGATGAAGTGAACTTGAGCGGAAGTAATGTCATGCAAGTTCTCTACTTGGCAAAGAAATACTTGGTACCTTTACTCGCTGATAAGTGCACTGAATATCTTCAGGAACATCTAGAGGCGTCGAATGTGTTCTCCGTCCTGCCGCAAGCTCAGAAATTTGAGGATAAAGATTTGGAAGAACGGTGCTGGAAAGTAATTGAAGAGGAAACCGAGAATGCCTTGACGTCGGAAGAATTTGTCACGCTTGAGAGATCTGTTGTTGAGTCTGTGGTAAAAAGGGAGAGATTGAATGTAAAGGAAGTGGATTTATTCAAAGCTGTTGATCGCTGGGCCACTAAAGAAGTGGAAAGGCAAAGACTATCCCCTGATGGCAAAGTCAAAAGAAGGATTCTTGGAGAGGAAATGGTGAAAGCAATAAGGTTTCCAGTGATGTCTCAGAAAGAGTTTGCTTCGGTTGTTGTGGATTGTGAAATTCTGACCAAAAAAGAGATTGGTTTCATGATGAAACACTACGGTGGTGTCTGTTTAGAGTCTTCTTTACCATTCATACATTCCCCTAGACAGTATGGAACTGGGCTTCAGCATCGTATTTACAGATTTACAAAACTAAGCCCGCCAGATATGCCTAATGGTTCATGGCACTACACTGGTGGTAATTCTGATGTCCTTAAACTGACTGTCAGTAAACCTTTCAAGTTACATGGAGTGCAGCATTTTGGCAGTGAAGATAATGAATACACAGTTTCATTAGAAGTGAAAGATGTGGCAAAGAGATTTTCCCTGGTAAAACTGATGGACACATATTCCTCAGAGAAAGATGAGACAAATGTTTACTATGGATTTGATGTCATGTTTGACCACCCAGTTTGTCTTGAGCGGGATAAAACGTATGAGATCGTCTCTCTCATCAGGGGCCCACCATCTTGGTATGTGACTGATGGGAAAGAATCTGACGAGGTTCAAGGAATCCAGTTTTCATTTAGCCGTTCAGCTGCTTCTGCTAATGGAACTGACGTCAAAAATGGCCAGTTTCCTGCACTTATTTTCAGCACAATGTAGTTTTTAAAATTTCTTAATGATGATAATGCATTTTTATTTTGTTGATCGTTTGAAGTGGTACTTCGCAACTTTTAGTTTAAGGAAAATTAATTAAGCAAGCTGGAATCTTGTTAGGAGTAAAGGATACTCCACTCTACCAATGCCTCCTTGATTCCCAGACTAGCTACCACCCATTGTTAGGGTACTTGCAGAATTGTAGTGGTGACACGTACACTGGTCAGCCGGGCTAAGCCAGGAATGATTTGCAAATACAGTTGAACCTCCCCACAATGTCCATCTTCGGAACAGACGAAAGTGGCTGCTGTAGAAAATTTTAAACAAGAGTTGCAATGTATGGACCGTCCACCAAAAAAGTGGCCATTGTTCAGGGGTGGCCGTTAGTGGAGCTTCAACTTTTGAGTCTGTTAAACCCTCAGCCGATAAATTGCATGTTAGTTCCCAGCTGTCAAGTAAGACTACGAACTCCCTACACGTTTTGTTATTACTGATCTAAAAGTAGGGAAGAGTAAAATAAATCCAACACAGGAAGATGACTGATTTGTAAGACTTATTTGATATTTAAAATTCTCAAGAAAATCGATCTAAAAATAAACTGGTCTAACTTTGTTAACGTTGTTGCATCACAATTGAGTTGATCACTCCAGTTTATGGGCTCCTAGTGACTATGACCAATTCTCTCTTCTTTTTCATAGTTAGTAGGGTGGCACCCTTACAAGGCAGCTAGTGCAGTATCTTATTGTCCATGGCCTCCTGTCATTCTTTCAAATTTGTTTGAAGAACAGTGAAGTCAAAACCACCCATATTACAGCTGTACCTTCCTGGATTGTTGCGTGCACTTTTTCCGACAACCTTTCTCAAAATAACCATCTGTTACTCTGTCTTATTGTACATTGCTGTAAGTTGACATCTAGTGTTGGTCCTTGTTATTCTCTAGTCTTTTTCTTTCACTCTCTGTGAGTGCTGTTACTAAGATTTCAAGTTGTTCACGTGATACGTACATGTATGTGTAACAGAAGTTGGGGAATTGGGCAGCAAGGAAGTTCTTTTGGTTCTAATCAGTTTCCTTTGATTCCTATGAGTTCTGAATTTACCCCATTTTTTCTCAAAATTGAAAACTGTTTTCGATCTTAGCAGGTGAATGTATTTCAACGCTCATTGATAAGGCTATCAATTTGTCATAAATCAGTAAATTTTGACTGTCTGTACTTCATATAAGACTAAGTAAAATGCCCTGGGTGGGGGTACTGTAAAGGAAACTATCTAAAGATGTGAGATCTCAGGTGATTTGTATTCTCTGTCTTGGTAGGGAATGTACAATGAAAACAGTAAAGAGTTAACACTTGAAAATTCAAAATTTTTTTTTTTCATTTCCCTTTGCAGAGATCGTATCTGAACAGCCATTAACGTTGTGGGTGATGCTTTTGGAGCTGGCATAGTGGAGCACCTTTCACGCGATGATCTGATGAGCATGGATTTTGTGCAGTGTGAAGATGCTGTTCCACTGGAACCATTTAAGCGATCACCTAAGAATGAAGAAGCCAATGATGTGCGAGCCAGCAATGCTTCCCTCAGGGCAGCTAACTTCTAAAAATGATGAAAATGGTAGCTATTTGCAGTCATCAATTAAAAAACCTGCAACTAAGAACCTGTTAGGCAAAAATTTGCTAGTTAGGCCCCCTCTAAACAACAACCTCTTCAGCCTAAAATTTGAAACAGGTTCTTATTTTCTGAAATCTATAAAAAAAAAAAAGTTGTACAATAAGATATCTTGTAAGTCAACGTTCAGGATTCTCTATGAAGCCTTATCACTCCAACTCTTTGGTGCCTAATATCACTCCAATGCAGTTTAATGGTATGCAAATGTTATATAATATTTTTTATTATAAGGAATAAGCGAAATACCACTAAATGCTCTTAGCTACAAGGTATTTTTTCTTCAGAAAATAAGAAACTACTTAAGAACTTAGATAGCCTAATTAACTTGTGCTAATAATCCATTTATGTAAGAACCTGTTTCAGCTAAGTTGGGGAAATGTTGGTTCTTAGTTGTGGGTTTTTACTTCCCCTACAGTGTACTAAGTTCAAATGCTCAACCTGTTCTGGTTATTTGTTACTTATGTGAAGTTAAAGCATGCATGCCAAGTATGGAACTGTTTTTTAGCGGCTCTTTCTTGAAAGGGAATCACCCACGATCTTTCTTTCCCAAGCAACACAACACCTTTTAGAGAATTCTACTTGGTAATTTATTATAGTTAAAGGCAGAACTTATACATTTGTATAACTGGGGAAATAATCAACTATTATTGATGAATAATTATTTAGCCTGCATAGCAGTTATTGCATGGGGAAAAGAAGCATGGGATGTGAGAAAGAACCAAAAATTTTCCGGTTTGGGGAGGGTTAGGAGATAAGTGTACATTTGTGTGCAAACTAATAATTATATATTGGAGCAGTGAAAAATGCAGACTGTGGACTGACTGCAGACTGAAACTGAAGAATGATCATCGCAGTAAATTTTCCAATTTAAGCAATTGGAAAGAAGAAGCCTGAAAAAGAAAAAATCAGAGCTTCAACGGGATTCAAACCCGTGACCTCTACGTTACCGGTGACCGGTGACTGCAGACTATTGTTTTTAGGGTTAGAAAACAATGGGACTATTGTTGTCACGTACTCATTTGCATGATGAAAACAATAGTCTGCAGACTGTGTTTTACGCTGACCCATTATATAACTATAGGTGGGTCAACCCACCTAAATGCTTCTTTGTTGCATGTGAATATTTACCTTATGTTGTCATTGGTGGATTGCAATGTAAAAATTTGACTTGAGAATCTGTCCCCATTAATGAATGTATGAACTGACATAATAAGCAGAGTTCACTGAGTGTGAGAGTAATTAGATGTTAATCCTGATGGGATAGAGGGAAATTTGGAGCATATGACTTATACTGTCAATACGATATTAGCCTTGATTTGACTGTAAAGAGATTTTGTATTGATCAAGATGGTTTTAAACATTTGAACCACTATTTTAAAAAAACTTTGGAAACAATCTTTTTTTAACTTTTTACAGAGTGTACACAACACACTGTGAACAAATTTCTCCACAAATATCCAGCATTCCTTTATCAGGGTTAAGAAGTCAGCTAATTTAGCTTTTCTATCTGACAAATAGGGTGAACGTTTAGCCAATTCTCAGACTTAAGTGTTTGGTTTGGCTAAGTAAAGGGGTGTACAATTGTAGAAAGTGTACAGTAGATTTTTAATGAACCAGTTTCNTTGACTGTAAAGAGATTTTGTATTGATCAAGATGGTTTTAAACATTTGAACCACTATTTTAAAAAAACTTTGGAAACAATCTTTTTTTAACTTTTTACAGAGTGTACACAACACACTGTGAACAAATTTCTCCACAAATATCCAGCATTCCTTTATCAGGGTTAAGAAGTCAGCTAATTTAGCTTTTCTATCTGACAAATAGGGTGAACGTTTAGCCAATTCTCAGACTTAAGTGTTTGGTTTGGCTAAGTAAAGGGGTGTACAATTGTAGAAAGTGTACAGTAGATTTTTAATGAACCAGTTTCTTTTCTTGTGGTTTTCGTACAAGACTAAGAGTATAGGCCATTGGTGAGTTGCCCAATCCTCTATTTCTAATCTAATTAAATTAACTGTTCTAGAAAGGATCTGGTTCTAAAAAAAAAGATTTGAATTGACAAGGGATAACTACCAAATTGTAACGCTATTATATGCACCAAGCTAAGCAAATTGAGTAAGACGTTCTTCAAGGTTAAATGTGTTTACTTTTAGCCCGAACTTCAATCGTCTCCTTGAGACGCGATCGTGAGGAGACAACTGAAATTCAGGCAAGTTTGCTTAGTTACAAAGCTCATAAATTCAAAGCTATCAATAATATTGAACTAAACAAAGTAGTTTAATCTTTGCAATAGCTTTTATTACTATCATAATTCAGTGGGAGGTGAATAACATTCAGCTCGGTTTGTAACATTTGGCAAAAAAATGTGGAAAGAAACCTTTTCTAGTTAACTTAGGAATATAACCATAGAAAGTTACAGTCTAAATAGTAGGTATGAGAAATGTAGTCTACTTTTAAATTTTTAGGTTTAGTATTTTGCTAATTATAACAAAGAAAAGGGCTAAAACGCTAAAGCTAAAGCGGGGAAAGCAGTCAATGCATGGTTAGATGCTATGAATAGATGCTGTCCAGATGCTCTGGATACTTTCAAAGCAGACTGGTCGTTCTTTTCTTTTTGGGGACTACTTTGTTCAGGAGCTGTGTGACGGAATATATCATTAATCAAAATAAAAACAGTGGCAACTGCCACCAAATTGAGGGAAACAATAATAATAACCGCTCAACACGCTAAAAAATAGGAATTAATAGCACAGCAAACACAAAAGGAGGCACAGATGGACAAACTATACTCAGTATTGAGAAAATCTCATACTCCTAGTCGTCCTCGTCTCAGAATCTAAAGCTCTCTATTGTGTCACCTCAGGAACTTTTTAAAGAAAAGTAACACTATTTGCAGTCTAACCAAAGCGAACAAATTTTGAAATGTAATTGAAAATAAGGGTTGTTGTCTTCTGAATTTTATTACTTACTCTTTATTCACTGTCTATAAACTCTAAAAAGCGGCAGACCATTTATTTCTTTTTATTTACTTTTTCGCAGCCCTTTTGAGGGTCGTCACGCAACGCTCCTCCCCCAAAACGACTGCTTTCTTTCGAACTACATTCCTTTCCCTTATGTAATTCATATGGCTCTTGATGCGACCAATCAGAATTTGGTTTTCATATCCAAACTATTCGCGACGTTGGGAACGCGTGTCTTACTTTGGGGAAGCGCGTTGCGTGACGACCCTAAAATGGCTGCGGAGGTGACTAAGGTGGGTTATATCGTTCGCGTTTTGTTTTTCCTTCACGCCTACTAGTGAGATGCAATGGTTTCCTTTAGTTAGTATATATGCGGGCGTGTGAATCAAGGGGCACTCACCATTTGTAAGAACTGGACGACTAGACCTGTCAAGTCGAAAGGAGAATTCAACTATTGGACCAGACTATCAGCCAGATCAGTTAATCCTAAATGGTTTGCGCAGCAGTGATGAGTTTTAGTAAAACTTTTCAGAAAAGGCTACTATTTCATTTTCCGCGACCGGTCTGGCCGGCCAGTTCTGACTTTTGGAAAGCGCCCTAAGGCCCAGGCCAAACAACGAACTTTTGATGAGACGAACCAAAGTCTGTTCGGTCAGACGAGGTCGAACTTAGGATGTGTCGACTTAATCAACTGAATCAGAGTCTCCCGAACGAGGCTAGATATACATTATCATATGAATTTTTAATTATTAGTTTAGTTGGTCGCATCTGAAGATTGACGTTTGTCCCGACTGACGATCTCAAACGCTCTTTCCATCTGAAGCAGGCGGATAGAACGTGTTGCACAATCCAGATTCATTCAGGCGAAATAAACTGAGCCAGATGTCGAACTTTCCGTGACCTTAACTCGTCTCATGAAAAGTTCGACGTTTACCATAGGCCGTACACGGTTAACCCTAAACGTCAGTCCAGCACAAAAACCATTGGCCCTGTCTAGCTCTCCCTATTTCACCGGCCCTGACCCCTTTCTCTACACAATGACGAATCCCTTACATAAATCGTCCTGTTGACAATGATTGCATAACGCCAGACGATGTTCGATCCCCACATGTTACACACCCGTCCTGGCATCCCGACTTGTCAAAATGTTCTGGCATTTCTTCTAAACTGTATTCATCCTGCATCAAGTGAAAGGCACGCGAAACTATGAACGCGTGATTTGTGACAGGCTAAGCCATTCCCTAATAGACCTCTTTCATAATGGCGGCCAATTGATGTTTTCTTTTATATGTATGATAAGTAATATATCAAACATGAGATGCAGTGTTTCATCACCAGATGAAACACCAAGAAGAGAGTTGAAAATACGACGCGCAGCGGAGTATTTTTGACGAACTTCGAGGTGTTTCATCTGGTGATGAAACACTGTGTCGAATGTTTGATATTTCTTCTCAAACAAAATCATTTTTGAAGGAGAAATTAAGGATGCAAATACTAAGCAGTGTTTCATCCGATTTCCAAACACTCATTAAACATTAATTTCCTTTGTATTTTCTTAATGAATTATTAATGAGTTTGAGAATTAACCTTTCTGACCTCTTTAGCATGTGTAAAATACAAAAGAATGTTTACTTTCAAACGAGGCCAGAAAGGCTAATTATGATACATCTAAAAGAAGATAGCCAAGAAGATATTAAGGTAATAGGCCGCCATATTGAAAGAGGTCTATGGAAATCATTTCTTCAAACAGGTCAGAAGTACATACGCGCCAAGAAAACACAAATTTGACTTGAACATTAATTCAAGTGGACTTCATGATCACGTACCACTTTTCCATAATTTCCACCAAAAAATTTTCCAGTAGATCCTTGGAAATTTCACGGAATTTTTCCTCATACCGGAATAAGCTTAACAACAATCCAGCAAAATGAAAGCTTTAAAAATAACTCAAACGGCCAGGGGAAAATGTCAAAGAAATCGCCCCATGTACTTGTAAGGTAATCAAAGATAGCCTTAGATTCTGTATTTCAGTCTGTGGATTCCTAATCCCCGGAACTCGATTCCAATGAGTTTCTTAGCCTTTCTTGTCAGTGGAGCTTGGATTCCCGATTTCGATTCTTTGCTAGAAGAATTTCTTGGATTCCGGATTGCACCAAACAAAAAAATTCCGGCGCCTCTGAATCTGCATTCCCTTACTTGGCGAAAAGAGAAAAAGAAAGTCTCATCCTGCCTGCGATAAGCGTTGGACCAAAAAACCATCCAACCACAGGAATAGCACACGCAGATGTACCGGCGATCGTTAGCGAGAGACCGGTGATCTAGCTTGCTTTCTGTGTACCGTACAGATGCGTCGACAAACAGCGGTGGATTCTCATCTTGGAAGAATTCTGCTGTTCCTTTCTGCTCATAGGCGTACGGGCTATTTTTTTGCCAGGAGGTGCGGTAAACCATTTGCCCAAAAAATTTTTGCAATTTGCCCAAATTTTTACAAAACAGTCGAACAGTAGCGAGGGCCGATGCAACAACATAGGCCGTACTGGCATACGAAAATGGCTCGATACAGTTTTTCAGGGTCAATACCTGCCAAGTTTGAGCATAAACTACGTCGCCAAAAACAAACATTTGGAAAAATTGCCACCACAGTTGTATTAGATAAAGATGAAAATTTGTTGTGACCAGGATTGCAATGACATCAGAGTTGTCCTAGCAACGAAATTAAGCCATTACCTATTATACTTGCAGCAATATTTCTCCCTGGGAACTGTTCTTCTAAAATCGATCACAGGAGCTTTTTCCTCCAATAGTCGCCTCGATCTTCGTGAAGTTAAAACGGAATCTGTAAGAGCGTTATCGAGACATTTTGGGATAAAGTTTTTATCGTTGGAAATACGGTACAAAAAGGAAAATCTTGATGTTTGGCCGTTACCTGTAGAAAACGATGTGCTTTTGACATGCAATTTCACCTCACAGTAGTTTCAATCTTTTTAAAAACGTGGGTGAAAGATCATGGAGATAGCTCCGGCCAATTGCTACAAAGAAGGATTTGATTAGTATGTATATATCATGGCGCTCTTGTTAGCGGTTTTGTAAACATTTCAGTCTACTTTAACAAATTAGTGAATAATTTTTAAACCGCTCGATAGTTTTTTAAAAAACTTAAGATTCTTCTCGCAATTCAAACTGAGAATTACTCAGCCACTTCTTCACTTTCAGGCCCATTGCTGATGCTATCTGCCATACACTGTTTTACGGGCAGAGATGATTGTAGAAAGTTAGGGGAAGTTTATTCTAATAAATTCACGAGTAGAAATAGCCCATTGCAGTACAGTGCCCAACAATAAAAAAATCAGCATATGATACCTTTCCCTTATAACCAGAAACTCGTCACGTGCTAGGCAGCCACTGTCTCGTGTCAATGTAACTGGATTATCACGCCGACTTCAGGTTAAAATAGAAAATATTTATCTCTTCAAAATAATAATAATAACATGGAGACGTCTTTAAAACTGGCTTTGCGCAAATTTTCTTGTGTTGTCCAAAAAATCTGAGTTGCCCAAAATTTGAGGGGGCTGCAGCCCCCCTAGCCCCCCCCCGGCCCGTACGCCTATGTTTCTGCTAGCAGGCGTTGTACTTGAGACACGGCAGCTGCAGCGCGGAGCAGTCTTCACAGACTTTAAAACATTTATGTTTGGCGATAGCATCTCGCCAATCGTTAGACTCCACTGCGCACCCCTTGCAAATCATAATGCAGCCTGGTTGTTCCGCTTCTGCGTGGCCACAATGCTCGCACTTCCGGAGTTCAGGAGCCTCCTCAGTGGCTGCATCTACAATATCTAAACGCACGCTAGTGATAACGCCCAGACCCGCTAGAGCCCCACCGTTACACTTGCTTTAATTCAAAGAAAGAATGGGTGACCTGTGCCAAACCCGAGAAGACCCTGGGTACTAGATTGAGAAACGTAGCGTACTTGAGAGGGAAACTGGAAGGTTGGCGAGACTGCAAACTTCGTGTATCCTTGTAATCAGAAAGGTGCAATCACTGCAATGGCTACTCTTGATGATAACTGGTAGACAAAACGTTCAGCTATCAGCGAGAGAACCAAATTTATTTTCAATAACGAATTATTAAGTGATGTGAAGTTTGTAGTTCCTGCGTCGCACAACGAAAGGGAAGGCTGGAAGAGTCAGAAGTGCATTCCAGCTCACAAGTTTATGCTTGCAATCAGCAGTCCTGTTTTCTATGCCATGTTCTACGGCGAAATAGCGGAGAGTTCAGGCACTATTCGATTGCCTGATTGTGATTATGAGAGTCTCTTAGAGTTGTTTCGTTTTCTGTACAGCGACGAAGTGAACTTGACCGGAAGTAATGTCATGCAAGTTCTCTACTTGGCAAAGAAATACCTGGTTCCTTCACTCGCCGACAAGTGCACTGAATATCTTCAGGACCACCTAGAATCGTCGAACGTGTTCTCCGTCCTGCCGCAAGCTCAAAAATTTGAAGATAAAGATTTGGAAGAACGGTGCTGGGAAGTAATTGAAGCGGAAACCGAGAATGCCTTGACGTCGGAAGAATTTGTCACGCTTGAGAGATCTGTTGTTGAGTCTGTGGTAAAAAGGGAGAGATTGAATGTAAAGGAAGTGGATTTATTCAAGGCTGTTGATCGCTGGGCCACTAAAGAAGTGGAAAGGCAAAGACTATCCCCTGATGGCAAAGTCAAAAGAAGGATTCTTGGAGAGGAAATTGTGAAAGCAATAAGGTTTCCGGTGATGTCGCAGAAAGAGTTTGCTTTGGTTGTTGTAGATTGTGAAATTCTGACTAAAAAAGAGATTGGTTTGATGATGAAACACTACGGTGGTGTTGGTTTAGAGTCTTCTTTACCATTCATGCATTCCCCAAGACAGCCTAGAACTGGGCTTTTTCATCGAATTTACAGATTTACAGAAGTAAGTCCGCCCAAAATGCCTAATGGTCCCTGGCACTACACTCATGGTAATTCTGATGCCCTTAAACTGACTGTCAGTAAGCCTGTCATGTTACATGGAGTGCAGCATTTTGGTAGTGAAGGTGGCAAATACACAGTTTCAGTAGAAGTAAAAGATGTGGCAAATAGCGGTTTTCCTCTGGTAAAACTGACGGGCACGTATTCCTCCGAGAAAGATGAGACAAATGGTTTCTATGGATTTGATGTCATGTTTGATCACCCTGTTTGCCTTGAGCAGGGTAAAACGTATGAGATTGTATCTCGCACTTCCGGAGTTCAGGAGCCTCCTCAGTGGCTGCATCTACAATATCTAAACGCACGCTAGTGATAACGCCCAGACCCGCTAGAGCCCCACCGTTACACTTGCTGTAATTCAAAGAAAGAATGGGTGACCTGTGCCAAACCCGAGAAGACCCTGGGTACTAGATTGAGAAACGTAGCGTACTTGAGAGGGAAACTGGAAGGTTGACGAGACTGCAAACTTCGTATACCTTGTAATCAGAAAGGTGCAATCACTGCAATGGCTACTCTTGATGATAACTGGCAGACAAAACGTTCAACTATCAGCGAGAGAACCAAATTTATTTTCAATAACGAATTATTAAGTGATGTGAAGTTTGTATTTCCAGCGTCGCACAACGAAAGTGAAAGCCGGAAGAGTCAGAAGTGCATTCCAGCTCACAAGTTTATGCTTGCAATCAGCAGTCCTGTTTTCTGTGCCATGTTCTACGGTGAAATAGCGGAGAGTTCAGGCACTATTCGATTGCCTGATTGTGATTATGAGAGTCTCTTGGAGTTGTTTCGTTTTCTGTACAGCGATGAAGTGAACTTGACCGGAAGTAATGTCATGCAAGTCCTCTACTTGGCAAAGAAATATCTGGTACCTTCACTCGCTAATAAGTGCACTGAATACTTCAGGAACATCTAGATGCGTCGAACGTGTTCTCCGTCCTGCAGCAAGCTCAGAAATTTGAGGATAAAGATTTGGAAGAACGGTGCTGGGAAGTAATTGAAGAGGAAACCGAGAATGCCTTGACGTCGGAAGAATTTGTCACGCTTGAGAGATCTGTTGTTGAGTCTGTGGTAAAAAGGGAGAGATTGAATGTAAAGGAAGTGGATATATTCAAAGCTGTTGATCGCTGGGCCACTAAAGAAGTGGAAAGGCAAAGACTATCCCCTGATGGCGTGGTCAAAAGAAGGATTCTTGGAGAGGAAACTGTGAAAGCAATAAGGTTTCCAGTGATGTCTCAGAAAGAGTTTGCTTCGGTTGTTGTGGATTGTGAAATTCTGACTAAAAAAGAGATTGGTTTGATGATGAAACACTACAGTGGTGTCAGTTTAGAGTCTTCTTTACCATTCATGCATTCCCCAAGACAGTCTAGACTTCGAGTTTACAGATTTACAAAACTAAGCCCGCCAGATATGCCTAATGGTTCATGGCACTACACTCGTGGTAAAGCTGATGCGCTCAATCTAACCGTCAGTAAACCTGTCAAGTTACATGGAGTGCAGCATTTTGGCAGTGAAGATAATGAATACACAGTTTCATTAGAAGTGAAAGATGTGGCAAAGGGTCTTTCTCTGGTAAAACTGAAGGACACATATTCCTCCGAGAAAGATGAGACAAATGGTTACCATGGATTTGATGTCATGTTTGATCACCCTGTTTGCCTTGAGCAAGGTAAAACGTATGAGATTGTATCACGTATCAAAGGCCCGTCATCGTGGCGTGTGATACAAGGTAAAAACTCAGACGAAATTGAAGGAATCCAGTTTTCATTTAGCAGTCCAGCTTCTTCTGGGAATGGAACTGATGTTAGAATTGGCCAGTTTCCTTCATTTATCTTCAGCAGTATGTCGTTTAATTCTTAACTGACGATAATGATGATTGTGGTACGCCGCGGATTTTTTTATTGAAGGAATAACTAGTCAAAAATATACTAAACAATTTTCTTATGGCACTCCTAGGCCACCATACTAGTCTGCAAGACACAGCCGTTTTTAGTGTCGTCACGCAACGCTCCTCCCCACTAACACTTAAACAGCACTCCCCACTAAGTGGGGAGGAGCATTGCGTGACGACACTAAAAAACGGCTGTGTAGCAGACTAGGGAATAACCTGATCAAACAAGCAGTGCTGTCAACTCTCCTGGATAATCCGGGAGACTCGAGATTTTGGACCGTATCTCCCGGTCACCAGATTAGCGTCTGATATCTCCCGGATAGTCGCTAAAGGTGCTATTTCTTGTAGACTCGACTTTCCGACCATAAAATTTGAAATATTTTTCGTTGTTTGAGTTACTGTTAACATGGAACGTTTCCTCATAGATTATGGGATGCCATAATTTAAGCAATAACGTGGCTAAATATGAACTGTTTATGTGCTATATACGCCGATTGCAATCAACAAGCATTTTTGGCACAAATGACGTCATTTGTCGTGCGATGTGACGTCATCTATCATTCCTTCCCTATCAATTCTCAATATTTGATGACGTGGGGGAATGAACAAGCCAGAGTCTTTTTAGAAGTAACGAATCATATTCCCTACTACCTGTTGTTAGGGTTAGGAGGCTGAATGCTGTCGACACACTGGTAGCTGAACTGGAATGATTTGCCAAGCAAAACAAATATAGAGCTACTTCGCATGTTAGTTCTTAGTAAGACTTCGGACTCCTTTCACGTTTTATTTATTTGAGTTAAATTAGTGAAGAATGAAATAGTCATACACCGAAAAATTAAATAGAGAAATTTATTAGTGGCACTTACTCAATTCCTCATTTTTAACTCCTTGGTTTTACAAAGATAAGCAGTTTTTTTTTTATCCAGTAAGCTAAGTAATAGTGAAAAGAGATTTTTAAAAGCGATTTTGAATTTTATTGACTAAATGAGATAAAATGCGGCAACCGATTTAAATCATTCTCATCTGCACCTGTTGGCAGTTTGTAGTAACTGATATGAGTTATTAGGTATTGAGAGAGAGACTTTATGGAAGGAGCCAGGTTTATCATTGGCCGGACGGCGTACCGTGAATAATCATGCTGACAATGTAACGTTGAAATAGTATTTACGGCACTGACTTGGTCATGTATTTGTTATCAATTAAGGTTTTTCTTTACCTTACTTTGCAACTGCCTAGACATAAAACACTGAGTCCAAAAGCCGTCACTAACAACACACAGTCACCAGGCTCGTAGCCAGGTTTTTTTTACGGAGAGATGCGATCCAACGATGATACGGACCAAACAAGGCCGAAGGCTCCAGTTCTTTAGGTAAGGGGGAATTATATTGGTTGTCCTGAGACTGCATTTCGGGCGTTTCGAAGGGGGTATGATAAGAAAACAGACAGCTGAAAGCGAAACGTGGATATATTTCAAAAATTTTGAACTTCTAAGTTGCTTTTTATGCTAAAGCGACTCTACTTATGTACGTATTCTTAAATTTGATTATGGCCATCGCAATGACACAATTTAAAAGGAAGGAATAGAAGGAAAATTGTGAATCTGATTATTTACTAGTTTTGGCGCTGCCATGATCTTTCCGCGCAGTAATAGTGTGCCAAGTTGGGGGCTTCTTAGCCAACGTATCAACGACTTCTTCCACATCAACGTCTGTTAGATGGTACACGCGAGTCTTATTTCCCTAGTTACATGAAACTAGAGAAATCTGACCGTGATAGCACGCTGAAGGGCCACTCCCGCTCTGCGTCCTCTTCCCGCACCAATACCCACCGCGGCCACATACTGTGCGTTTCCATTTTCCTCACCTCCGTCTTAAGGTGGCTCGATACAGTTTTTCAAGGTCAATACCTCTCAAGTTTGAGCATAAACTACGTCGCAATAAACAAATTTTTGGAAAAATTTCAACCAGAGTGGTATTAGATAAAGATGAAAATTTGTTATGATCAGTGTTGCAACGGCATCGGAGTTGTCATAGCAACGAAATGACGCTATTGCCTATTATACTTGCAGCAGTATATCTCGGCACTGGGAACTGTTCTTCGAAAATCATTTACGGGAGCTTTTTTCTCCAATAGCAGCCTCGATGTTCGTGAAGTTTAAGGAAAATCGGTAAGAGCGTTATCGAAATATTTTGGGATAATGTTTTTATTGTAAGAAACACAGTAAAAAGAAGACAATATTGTTGTTTGGCCGTTATTTGTAGAAAATGAAGCGCTTTTGACAGGCAATTTCACCTCATAGTAGTTTCAATCTTTTTAAAAGCGTGTGTGAAAGATCATGGGAGATAGCTCCAGCCGATTGCTAGAAAGAAGGGTTTGATTAGTATGTATCGAAGCGCTCTTGTTAGCGGTTTTGTAAACATTTTGGTCTTGTTTAACAAATTAGCGAATAATTTTTAAACCGCTCGATAGATTTTTTAAAAATTAAAGATTCTTGAGATTAACCTTCCTTTTATATGACCTTTTAGTCTCAAGATTATTGATATGTTGTAAGGCAGAAAAATAAGGGCTACAATTGGTTACTTTTTTATCGGAAGTTTCGTCATTACAAGTGAAAGCCTCTAATTATTCAAGGCATTGTCTCCAAGTTTCATTTTCACGTGAACAGCAGTAACTAACAATGCATTTGAAATATGCAAAAATGCTAGCTTTTGTTGTGCACGAAAATATGAAACTTGGACACAATACCTTGAATAATGAGAGGCTCACACTTGTAAACACAAAATTTCTGCCAAAATATTAGCGAATTGTAGCCCTTATTTTACTGCCTTACAATATATCAATAATCTTGAAACTAAAAGAGCATATAAAAGGAAGGTTAATCTCAAGAATCTTAAATTTCTAAAAAAATCTATCGAGCGGTTTACAAATTATTCGCTAATTTGTTAAAGTAGACCGAAATGTTCAAAAAACCGCTAACTAGAACGCCTCGATACATACTAATCAAATCCTTCTTTCTAGCAAACGGCTGGAGCTATCTCCTTGATCTTTCACACACGTTTTTAAAAAGACTGAAACTATTATTATGTCAAAAGCGCTTCGTTTTCTACAGATAACAGCCGAACACCAAGATTGCCCATTTTTTACAGTATTTCTAACCACAAAATCTTTATCCCAAAATATCTCGATAACGCTCTTACAGATTTCGCTTAAACTTCACGAGCATCGAGTCTGCTATTGGAGGAAAAAACTCCCGTGAATGATTTTCGAAGAACAGTTCCCAGTGCCGAGATATACTTTGCAAGTAAAATAGGTAATAGCGTCAGTTCGTTGCTATGACAACTCTGATGCCGTTGCAACCCTGATCATAACAAATTTCATCTTCATCTAATACAACTGTGGTGGCAATTTTTCCAAAACTTTGTTTATGGCGACGTAGTTTATGCTCAAATTTGGGAGGTATTGGCCCTGAAAAACTGTATCGAGCCACCTTAAAATGTGTGCGACATTGGTACATAGCATTTTACCGCGTTCTTCTTTATTGTGCTCGTTCGAGTTTTGATGAGAGTTAGTTTAATTGATATACGTTTATTAGCCAAAAAGCATTTTTAAATGTGGCAGATTTTTCAGTAATCTCTAACTTTAGGATTTATCTTCAAAATTTTTGAATAAAGAACGGCTGGGTTCTGATAATTGTCTGCAGCTGAAAAATATTTGTTAATGGCACTTTCAGCTTCTTTTTGAGACGTAGACAAAATCTTGCGGCGGCTTCGATCTCTTCTTATTCTCTTCGGCCCATTTTCTCGCGAACTATGTTAAAAACTGTTCAACTGTGGCAAAATTGAAAACGATTTTTCAATAATTGTAGGCACAGTATCGCCAAATCACTTGGTTTTTCATCGTTGGTCAACAAAAAAGTGGACCTCCGAAGCCTGTAGGCTGGGGGTGCGTGCCCACCCGTCGCACCCCGCTTCCTTCGGGCCTGTCACTCACTTGTATCGCATGTACTAGTTAACCATTGAAAACTTCAAAAGGAATCTTTACCGATATTTTCATGAGACAACGCAGCCCTGAGAAAGATCATTGTTTAGAATGTTAGCCTCGTTAAAGTTGTCGTTTACCATTGGACCTATGGGTATTAATTAGAATGTTAGCCTCGCTTAAGCTGAGGTTTTCTTTCAGTGCCAGTCGTGTACTAGATTTGGCCGCATCTGAAAACTGTCAAACCGTAACTCATACCTCGTCTCGGCGTGTTGGTTGTGCCATAAATTTCAACAACTTAATGCAAGCCCGCAATCGGTTTAACGAATCTCCAAGCAAGAGGAATTTTTATGTTATTGAGTAGACTACACTGAGGCTACACCGAACAGAGTTTCGTACCGACACCTCTCCCGATCTTTGAGTCTCCACTTTAGAGATCGGCGTGGCTCATCAGCTTTCCTCCGTTGCAGAAATTTGCGCCGAAATCACTGTTCCCAAGTGTGAACAGAAGCCCTATCCGCTATGGTTTTTGTGCTGGCACAAAAGGATGTAGTTGATGAACATAGCTAAGTCAACTATGCCGGCTGAGACTAGAGATCTTCGGAATATTTGCGCGAACCCCACGGGATGGCCGGATACATTTTGATTCAAGCAATTAGCTGCAGGTTGTACCAGCGACTTAACTCTCAGAAATTATATGATTCAGAGCAGTTTTGCACTGCTACGTCTTTGGATGTATGGAAGACGCTGTCGTTTCATTTAAATTTTCTTGATCGATATATAACAAGTAAAACCAGAGCCAGCTGTGAGTTTTAGCAATTTTTATCTAACTCCTTCTGATTACTGCAGTGGATTGGTCTGCCGTAAACTACGAGCAATTTTCTTATTTTCTTTACCGTTAGTCAGGGTGGCACGCGTAAAGGGTAACCAGTGAATTTGTAAACTTAATTCTTTTCAGGTTGTTGCCCTCGTTTCTCGCGTGATACGCAAAAATAAGGGAATGCTAGGATCCTAGATTGTCTGTGTTTTTTATGGGTGTGCGCCCGAACAGCTTGGGCGTGACTTTATAGGCTCAAAATCAGTCTGGACTTCATACATCACACTAAAATCTCTTAAAATCCTCATGATTCACCAACACACATTTGCATGAAACGGTCAGTCTGAAGGGACAAAAACTTAACACCTTGCTGGATGGCAAACGACGCACTAGGGCAAGAAAAACAAAGAGATTACATTACAGCAAAACCCCGCCGTACGGCCATCTAGCTGTGCGGTCACCCGTTAATACGGCCAATTTTTTTATGACCCATTGGTGACCGTATAATGAACGGGATTCCACTGTATTATCCAAATAGCTATTATCTTTTCTTTTCAAGGTTCCACTGGGTTGTATGTCCTCTAGTCTGCTACACAACCGTTTTTAGTGTCGTCACGTAACGCTCCTCCCTTTGTGTGGAGGAGCGTTGCGTGACGACACTAAACACGGCTGTACATGTGTAGCAGACTATATGCCCTCCAGCAAGGTTTTTTCTACCATGTGACCGTTTCGTGCAAAGGGCCCACTAACGTGATTGGTTGAAGATTGCGAAAATTCTCATGCGTGCACGGGATGAGTAAAACTTGGACATAAGTATTTGGCAAATTTACAGTCTAGTCCGAGTTTGCTAATAAGAATGTTAGGTAACAACCCCTTAGCTGCTAAAGATGCAACTTTTAATCTTCAGTGATGAGCAAAGCCGTATCAAAGGTTATAATGGGCTTCGGCTTCTTATTGAGAAATATGGTTAAAAAGTTCTAATGTTTATCCGTGAAGGGATTGTTTTCCTGAGTAGTGATTAAAGGGACTCTCTTGAAGAATTTAGAAGATGGTAAGTCAAGGAAGTACTCTTTGCGAGGAAAGCTTATAAGACAGCGTTTGTTTGTCAGTCCACCAGTCCAACCGAACCTGGGGTCAATTCCATAAAACTTCTACAAGTGTAATTTACAAGTGTAACTATTGTTTTGAGACCCTAAAACAATGGCTACACTTGTAAATTACAGTTGTAAAAGTTTTACTAAATTGACCCCTGAGCATTTGTAAAACTTTTACAAGTGTAATATTCAAGTGTTTTTAGAGCCTGGAAACAAAAGCTACCCTTGCAAATTACTTGTAAAAGTGTTATTAAGTTGACCCCAGGCATAGCCTGCGTGGCAGGGGCAAAAATGGGAGAGGTGAGGATATTGAGAGAAGCGCGAAGGCTAAAACACACACTCAAACGAAGAATGAGATACCTGTGGCAAACCCGCGAGAGCCATGGGCACTAGAAAGCGATAACCTTAACCTCAACCTTAACCTGGGGACGAGGTCTGATCGAAGGTAGCCTGAGATCATGCCCTCTCCCTATTATCCCTTTATGTCTCTCACGGGAAGAGGGCATGATACATTTCTTTGTCGGATCACATGTAAAAAAGCCAGAATCTGGACTTTTCCCTGATTGGATAGGAAACAATACGAATGATTTGCGCTGTTCCGATTGGCCAAAATGCCGCCATCCGTTAGTTGTTGTTGATTTCAGTCTGCATTTTTGCTTGCGTAATGAGCAGTGAATACGCACGCGAGTTCGTTATGAAATTTCTGCCGGCTCAGTTTTCTTGAATTTGAAGAATGCCTAAAAAGAAATTTCATCCATTGAAATATTTTCCATCTCATCGTTTACACCGATCATTTGAATGCAATTTGATACCGGCTACAAGTTACTGAAGCGACAAACGGGTTCACTTTTCAAATAATGAATTCATGAATGGAATCTTGACCCGACTTGACTGTAATTCTTCCTTCAGCAGAAACCTGCGAATTATTCTGAACGATCTTCGCTTTGACAACACCTTGCAGTTCGTGAAATATGGTGCTTCAGCCTAATTTTTTTTCACTGCTTTTGGTACAGAACGAAGTCAACGAGCTTTAACCAGTAAATTCTTTATTATTTGTAGCTATTAATTAAAGGTACGGCAGCTCCAGCTAGCAGTATTTCATCACAAAAACAACACATTAAAATTTTTTTTTAGGAAGCGCCACCTGAACATGGACGTACTTAAAAATTTTCTTTTCCCTAAAATTGATTTCAAAACAGACATTATTCGCGCCAAAATTTGATTCCCGTATGGTGAACGCTTATTGGCTAATAACATGACAGGTCGAGTAGACGTTAGATTATGTAAATTAGGAGGTGGTTGACGGCTTGTTAAATAAATGTATCAGGCGTTATTTTTTTCCTTCTCGAGCCAAACAAGCAAAAAAAAATAAAATAAAATAACGCCTGATCTCAGGTTAGATCGAAGGTTGATTGAAGGTGCAATGGCTTCTTTTCGCTCATTTGATGATAACTGGCAGACTAAGCGCCCAAATATCAGCGAGAGAACCAAATTTATGTTCAATAACGAATTATTAAGTGATGTGAAGTTTGTAGTTCCTGCGTCGCACAACCAAAGTGAAAGCCACAAGAGTCGGAAATGCATAATACCAGCTCACAAGTTTGTACTTGCAATCAGCAGTCCTGTTTTCTATGCCATGTTCTACGGTGAAATGGCAGAGACTGCAGACACTATTCAACTGCCTGACTGTGAGTATAAGAGTCTAAGTCTAAGAGTATAAGAGTACAGCGATGAAGTGAACTTGAGCGGAAGTAATGTCATGCAAGTTCTCTACTTGGCAAAAAAATATCTGGTACCTTCACTCGCTGATAAGTGCACTGAATTTATTCGGGAACATCTAGATGCGTCGAATGTGTTTTCCGTTCTGCCTCAAGCTCTGAAATTTGAGGGCGAAGCCTTGGAAAAACGGTGCTGGGAAATTATTGAGATTCACACCGAGAATGCTCTGACGTCGGAAGAATTTGTCACGCTTGAGAGATCTGCTGTTGAGTCTGTCGTGAAAAGAGAGAGATTAAATGTAAAAGAAGTGGATTTATTCATAGCTGTTCATCGCTGGGCCACCAAAGAAGTTGAAAGACAAGGGGTGACTCCTGATGGCAAGGTTAAAAGAAGGCTTCTTGGAGAGGAAATTGTAAAAGCAATAAGGTTTCCAGTGATGTCACAGAAGGAGGGGGGCGTAAGGGGGGTCCGAAAACCGCAAAACCGCACAGAAATACGCCAAAAAACCGCAAACCGCATCGGATTTTTTCCCGAATACCGAAACCGCGCGTACATGTAGGCCACAATATGAAAGCTGACGTCAGCAAGACTTGTGATATTTAACAATTATTCCACGCGGGCGCGTTGGATATGAGATGATAGATAGCCAACGAAGCGCGTAGCGCCGAGTTGGCTATAATCATCTCATATCCAACAAGCGCGAGTGGAATAATTGTTTTATTAAAAACGCCCTCAAAATCTCGTTGAATCTCCCCGACTAGAACAAACCGGAAAAGACAAGGGACTTCCGCTATTCACATGTCACACGTCTATCAAAACTGTCAACGCGCGAACGGACTCGCCTGGACTCATGAATGAAAAATTTTTTAAAAACTCATCGGGATTCTAGGATTTTACACAGCATAGCAGCTAAAAAAACCTGGCAGATAATGTGAAGAAAAATAATAATTTTAAAGTGACAGCTGTCGAAATTACTGTGAATTTGGATTTTCGGGGCAGTGATAAAAGTAAGAACAACGGAGAAAAACTATTACCTCGGTCGCTTGTTATGAAGTTGTTTGAAGCCACAAGCTGGTTTTGCTGAACGAGAAAAGAAGCTATACTGCCGCCTCGATTGCTTTAGTGAATGGCTGCATAGCCTGTATTTGTAGCTGGTTACTTGTGATTTATATTCTTGATGGCGGATAAACAAGCCGCAGTTATCTATCGGCGAGTGACTCGATCGGCGAATGGCTTCGCGATCATGAAGAAACAACACTTGTCTTCTTTCGTAGCTGGTCAAGGTACTTTAGTTCCATGTGTTTTCATGTGTTTTTCGGCAAACTTTCAAAAAAGCTCTTGTGGCTTTTTTGTTTGTTTTTGTCTTTTTTCTTTCGATGAAATTGCATTTCTTGTATTCTAAGAAATGAATTAAAACAATTTGCTTCGGGCGCCGTTCTATCCTTCGCAAAAGAAAATCTCAGCTAGCTTCCAATTTTAAACTGTCGCGTACACCGACCATGTATGGAGAGCATGGTATAATAGCTCATATACCATAACGGCTAAGCCAATCAAAATGCCAGAATTGTATTATCCAATGATTCAGTTTTTAATAAATTCTGATAACATTGTGCGTTAGTATTAAACATACCATCATAACGCTAACGATATATTGTACTACACTATTATACTCTATTTACTACTAACCAAATGCCAAGTCATGTACTTGAACGAGTATTGATATCTCCCTTGACTTTGAAAAAACTCTGTCACTGATCTGTACTTCTTACATTGGGTGACTGATTACTTTGGACGACCCTGTGCTAGTTGTGGAACGCGGAATAAATGTTTCTTCTGGAATTGTGACCGTCTTATCTCGTAAAAAGTTCACGTTCAGTGGAGAAGACGATTGTTAAAACGTACAGCTCTTCTGAAATTCTCCCCTTCCTTTCCTTCTTCATACAAGATTGCCACGCAATTAATTATAACGTCCTCTTCGCTTTCAGTTGCGACCTCGACGACCTCAGTTGCCATTGTCGCGCATTGAATCAAAGCAACGAGAACACGAGGCTGTACGGCTGTACGAGCTAACATCCGGCATGGAATTTCACGAAGTCGACGCATCATTGGCCAAAACGGTTAATCACATTAAGTATTAACTGGAAAAGGCCGTAATTGCAAACCACAGAGTTAAATTGTAAGCTGATATAATGAACCATGATGCGTTGTAAAACAAAACACTTGGCTCGCGCCGGATGCCGACCGTTCTAAAGAGTGTTATCACCGCAGACACTTTTTTTTTTCACCGAAAACCACGACTTAAAGGTTGTAATAACCGCAAACCGCTTAGTGGTTTGAAACCGCAATACCGCGAGTTAAAATAAAAATTACCGCAAAACCGCACCAAAAATAACGCAAAACCGTATCACCGCAAACCCTTACGCCCCCCTCCAGAAGGAGTTTGCTTCATTTGTTCTGGATTGTGACATTCTGACTAAAAAGGAGATTGGTTTCATGATGAAACATTTTGGTAATGTTAGTTTAGGGTCTTCTTTACCGTTCATATCTTCCCCTAGATTAGGGATTCTGCATCGATCTAACAGATTTGCAATGTTGAAACCCCCAGAAGCACATGGTGGTCCCTGGCAGTACTCTGATAGTGTAGCTGATGCCCTTCAACTAACTGTTAGTAAACCTGTCACTTTACATGGTATACAGCATTTTGGTTGTAAAGGTGGCAAATATACGGTCTCATTAGAAGTGAAAGATGTGAGAAGTGGTTGTTCTCTGGTAAAACAAACAGGAACATATTCATCCAAGAAAGATGAGAAAAATGGTTACTATGAATTCGATGTCATGTTTGATCTTCCTGTTTCCCTTGAGAGGGGCAAAGCGTATGAGATTGTATCTCTCATCAAGGGTTCATCATCGTGGCGTGTGGCTCAAGGAAAAATTCTTGACAAGGTTCAAGGAATCCAATTTTCATTTAGCACTTCAGCTACCTCTAAAAATGGAACAAGTGTAAATGTTGGCCAGTTTCCTTCATTTATTTTCAGCAAAATTTAGTTTAATTCTAAGATGACGATGTTGTTTGATGTCTGAAGTGGTACTCTTCAAAATTAATGTTTCATTTAGGGATAAGGGAAAACCTAATCAAACAATTCAGAGTCTTTTTTAAGAAAACTGTTTTCTTTACCAATGCCTAGTTCTTTTTAATTCTCAGGCTACAGTAAAAACCCATGAGTAAGAACCTGGAAATTAAGAACCTGTTAGCCTAAAATCTGTCATTTATACCCCCTACAAATAAGAACCTGTTTAGCCTAGAAAATGAAAAACAGGTTCTTATTTTTTAAAATCATATTGGTGAAATGCAGCTGTAAAGCTCTGCAAGAATCCCATTGTATATGTTAATGTTCTTGAGAGTGGTGGTACTGGTGATGGAGGGAGGGTGGGGATGATTGAAAAATAAGCTTATTACCATCTTCTTTTGTAGCTTGTTTTTTTTAATTTTTTTTTACAGAAATAAGAACCTATTTCAGAACCTAAAAATAAGAACTTGTGTAGGCTAACTCCACAAAAAATAGGTTCTTACTTGTGGGTTTTTACTGTACCACCTTTTGTTAGGGGGTTTCCTGGTAGACCAGGATTGAGGATCTCTAGCTTTTTTACCCTTTTTTTTATCTATTGCTTGAGCAGGGAAAGGATAGTGGTTGTATTAACAGGACATAAGGAAAAAAAGAATAGTTAAAAAAACACACACTCACACAACATGTACTAACTCATGATCAGAAGATGACCAGGCCAAGACTGAAGCTTGTCAGTGAAACAGTTTCTGGCAGAAAACACCATTTGTTTCTAGTAGGGCCATGATCTGAGTTCAAAGATATATTTCTTGTCAGAATAAGTGAGGTTTTACAATGATTAATAAGCTGAACTTAAACACTTTTCATGACATCTGAAGATATCAGGCCGGCACTGCTGACGAAAACTCATCTGCAAAGTGGGAAAAACATATACATGTCTTCTTTCCCCGATTCTTGCTCTGAGGCAAGTTTGTTTTGTAAGTGAAATCTGCTACAGGTCATGTGAAATCTGCGAAGCCTTCAACGATCAAGATGGATTCATTGTTTTCTTAAAACCATGTTTTAGTGACTAGGACTGTCAGCAAATCAACTGAACATATGCTACAAATTAGACAACTTCTCACATGATAAATTTTCAAGAGGGGATAGGAAGAGAGAGGTTTTACAAGATAGAGCAGGAACTCATAATGGGGTACTGTATACAGTCCCTTAATGTTTATTTGCATTTATTTAAAGCTGTTTTTTCTGAAAGGACTGCACTTACTACTAGTTAGCTTTGATCCTCAATTTCCGATTGGTTCCAATGATCAGATTATGCCCCCCCTTCAAATGAACCAGGGCAAGCCGCTAGTGAGATGCAAGAAATTTATTGCTTAATCAACATCTCCCCCCTCCCTTGATCTCTGATCTCTGATCCTTGATGCTGGTTTTCCAGGAAACCTTGTTGGTGTTATATTATTAGGTTGTGTTTTAGCAACAAGCAAAAGGAAAATAGAGGCTTATTAGATCCTGAGTATAATAAATTTATTACAATAGTAAAATGACAGACTACGGAGTCCTTTCACATGAAAATAGAGACATTTTATGGCACCTCTCTTTTATTGAATTGCTTTTTGTAAAGATACCGTAATCAGTTTTGTATCCGGTAAACTTAGAGGCGATTTCAGTTGAAATTTATTGAATAATTGAAAGAATGTAATAAAATGCAATCAATCAATCAATCAATCAACAACTTTATTTAAGTGTCTAGTCTTCTAGCTTGGCGTCAGGCCTACTAATCGGGGACACTACTTAAATAACTTAATATATAGATTTAGCCAGGGCTAAAAGCGAAGCTCCCATTAATAAATTTATATTTTAAATCAAACAATAAACTTGTAATCCACAAATCAGTTAACTTAAGGGCACATTCATGTGACTTTTGAGGGAANTACGTACAGCGACCGATGGAAATATGTCAGTGGTAGCTCTAAATCTGGAGAAAGGTTTCTTTGCCGTGGCCACATGCTAGCGTTAATATTTGTCGATTTGTGAAGTCAGGTGGTTTAAAGTTGGTTACGGCATCGATATTACCGAATAATTTGTGCAAATGTTGGAAAAAGACCAGCGCGAAACTCTGGCATCTTTCATCATCGTTTACAGCTTGTTAACAATCTGCAGCGGCCGATTTTGTACCATAACTTGATCAGATATCTCTTTTTGGAACAATTTCTTTCATTTAGGAATTTAATTTTGACATAAGATAAATCAAGAATGCTTAAACTATCCGTTTTGTTGGTGGTTGGCACATGGATAAGTACGTTTTCCTAGAGACTTTCTACACCAGAAATTCACACATTTTTTGTCTTTCTCAGCGATTTGGCATCGTCGTGAAATGTAACCTGCTTTCCAGCTTTGTACTTTATAACTTTTAAAGCTATGACAGTAGCGAATTGCTTGTGACGCTCTGTAATAAAATGTGGAAACCAACGTTTTTTAATATTAAGAGGGCTGGGTAAGTAACTTGTTCTGTTTTTTAGCCTTTCTAAAATCGTTGTTTGCAGATCAATAGCCCGTTTTGTTTATGGATTGTGTTAAGGATGCCTTTTTCTATGGGTTTACCGGTATAATAAACCATAGATTTTTGACCAATCAGATCGCGCGTACTATCTCAGCTATTTTATAAAAAATAATAACGAATTTATTATCATTATTTTGTGTTATTTAATGGTTCCAGTTATAACGATGTGTAATCTTATAAAGCGTTTGATACGCGCGACATTTCTAGGTACTCCTGCAAGCGATGTTCATGAACGATGAAAACAAACACCACGGACAAGCGATTAAAATTGCAGGAGAGACTACTAACAATCAATAAAAGAAATATAATTCGGTAAAACATTTACAGAGACAACAATTTTCAATCACGAAGACAAGTATTAAAGAGTCTTTAAAAATCCTGATTGTTTAAGCTTAAAGCTTAAGCTTAAGTTTATTTTGTTTTACTTTCAGCCGGCCTCCCGGTGTTTGTTTTTTTTTTTCAAAGATGAACTCCTCGAAGCAAGAACTCACCGGTCAAATTTAGACCAATCAGAGTACAAAAATTGAACGTTGAGCGTGACCAACGCGTGACCATGGTAAGAAAGGTCTTCCCCGCCTTTATTTTTAAAAAAGTGGCTGAATTTTCGGGTCCGAGGTCAGTTTGAAATCAAAATCTTGACAGTGCGGAGCCATAGTGACATAAACACAACATATTTCATATGAATCATTGGAAAAATAGACTTGAGCCTGCGATCATTTGAAACTGGTAATTTGTCAGCGGATAACTTCAAAAAAGTACTCGACCTCGATGGGTCGACACTTGAGCCCACGCTACGGTCAGGTGATACTGGTCAGCGGATATCCTGTTTTGACAGCTGTCAATTGATCATAACGTTGATGTGCAATTAGTTTTCTATTGGGCTCCCAAACTAGCTAGAAAGTGCGAGAGTAAACATTAGTTGCCCTGTGGTGCGGACGGACGGTCGGGCGTACGGTCACGTGATTACCAAATTTTCTCGGATGGGTAGATTACCACATTTTCTTAGCTATGGGGCTCCGTCCACGCGCGCGCTTCGCGCGCGGGTGGAGCTCCGCTATTAATAAGAAATATATATACATAATACTATAAGCCAATAAGATTTAACTATTCTAAAAACTACTTAAAAGATACACGATATTCAATATGCTTCGAAAATACACCTATTTAACCCACCTATTAAACCCACACCTATTAAACCCGATTTGAACCATTACATTTGCAACTGTTGAAAGTACTTGTAGTAAACAAGTTAAACATTGAAAGAGACCATAAACCCTATAGAAAGAGATTTATCACTGCCTTGCTGACATAATCTAATTAAGTGTAAAAGTTGTTATGCACAGTTCACCAGTATATCATGTGTTGAGGGAGTTTTAAGTTCGTATTTGATCCATGTGGACCCATTCATATCATCTATCCTGGCCCCATTTGGCTTTCCATTTAATCTATTAAGATAGCAAAGTCTGCGAGGATAAATCTTTCCACTGGTACTTCATTCAGCAAATTTTGACCAATCATGACATAGTTACAGGCAAAAAAAACAAGCAAAAGTTGGGGGGAAAATCCCCTGCCAATTTTGCTATTTACCTACTGCACTCTTTGCACGTTTAATTTGTACCTTTCTTGAAAAGAAAGCCAGCCAAACCATGCGAAAGTAAGGCAATAAAGTGGGCACAAAACTGGCTATGAAAGAAATGCAAATGGCAGAAGAAGAAAGTGACAAAAAAGATCGAAATAGATTCGCAAAAAAAAAAATTAACCAAGTCCAAATTTTGGCTCATGTGCATGCGCAAAAAAGGAAAAAGCTGTTAATAATTACATTACATCCAGTTAGCAGAAAAATATGCCCTTAGCGTTGGAAATCTCTTTTTTAGTCATTTTCATGCTAGCTGGCGGAAAAACGGTTCAAAATTAAGGAAGATTTGGTCAAAAATGCGGTTTTCCCTATTAACTGGCTCACGGCAAACAAAGAATGGGTTACCTGTAACAAACTCACAAGGACCTTGGGAACTAGATACTGGAGAGGGAATAGAAGGTTGACGTGATGTAAGTGCAAGCTACTTTGGAAAGGTGCAATTAGTGAAAGATGTTTCTGGACCTCAGCTTCCTGCTTCCTGTTGTTTGATTATCGTAAACGGCCTCCTCCCACTACTATATATTAAAATCTTCCCGATCTGGGCAGTCGCTCTGATGGGAGGTATGTTTTTGATATCAACAAAAGAACCCTTTGGGGACTAAGAATAGCCCCTCCTTCTGCGATAATTATACAGGCGCACTGGCAGCTGTAGGTTGTGCGTTTGCACTAGCGGATGGAATCATGGGTACATGATCATTTGATTATTGAGATCCCTCAAGAGAGATGCGCTACATGTAACCGAGTGTTAGCTCTCCTGAGTGTAGAGCAGTGTGCATGGCTACTGGAGGTTGTGGAGGTCGATGTATAGACAACAACTGGAAAATGGTAACAAATGACGGAAAATGTTGCTATCATATTTGAGCAAGACTAATGATAAGGAGGTGTGGGAGAACAAGGGGGTAGGAGCCCAGCAGAAAGGGGTCAGAAAAGAGCAGCAAGTGGGAGTTTTAAGAGGGAGGGAACTAGGGAAACGGGAGAAACGGAGGGAAACTGAATTAATTAATATGCAAATATAAAAGGGTGGAGGCCAGAAGTTCAAGGTACAGGAGGAAGAACTTTTGAAACTCCTGTCTCCCCACTTCCTCAAAAGGAGGACCTGAATGGGTTTTTGACCGTTTACTTTGTTTGTCGATCAGTTTTTTTAAATATGTAATGCTTAGAACAGCTAAGGAATTAAATAAGAAAATATTTTCCATTTGTTACAGAAACGTTCAGTACTGTTTTTTTTCTGGTTTAGCAGCCAAATGTACGTTTTAGGGATAAAGTGCATTAAACTTTGATTGTTACAGGACACAGAATCTGAAGGGGTCAATTTCTTCAGCAAAGAACAAGGAACGAGAGTCGAACCAATCCCGTTAGCTTAGCTGGGACTTTCATGTCGATACGATCTGTAAAAAGGTTAGCGCGGGTATAGGAGCCATACCGCACATCAAAAATTTTCTTTCCTTAGCTACTCTGGAAACAGTTAATAAAGGCCTAGTTCAGCCATACTTTGATTACTGTTCTCCTTTGCGGGACACCTGCGGCAAATTATTGAAAGATAAGCTGCAACGATTTCAGTCACGTGCTGCCAGAGTTCTCACAGGTGCCAGTTATGTTATTTGCTCCACAGACTTAATTGACTCTCTTTCTTGGCAAACACTTGATGATCGACGGCGCTGTGCAAAGTCATTTTTAATGTATAAAATATTAAATGACCATACCGTCCCCGGCCTAAGAAACTCTTTTGTGAGAAGGAATGTCGATCAGACTGATAAACATCTACGTAACACGGCTACTGATCGAACACTTCCTAAACCGAAAAGAGAGTTTCTAAAAGAAGTTTTAAATTTAGCGGTGCTATGCTTTGAAACCCGCTCCCGAATGAAGCAAAGCTCGCTGAGTCAATCTCTTCATATAGCTGGGTCTTGACATGGTTAACTCAGTTTTTGTATGTCTTATATGAAATTAGCAATAGTAGTAGTAGTAGTAGTAGTTGTAATAGTAGCATAAGAAATTTTAGTATTAGTTTAGGAATTTATTTAAGGTATTGTGTTAACACGCCCTCCATGGAAACCAGCCAAATGTTGTTGGGGCTAGCTTGTTTCTCTTGTAATATGAATTTTTAAGAAAAGTATTACCTTATCTTACCTTTTTACCTACCTACCTCGGTCTTTCTTTGCTCTGAAACCAAACGGAAACTCTTGATACGTGGGCTAAGTAATAGTTAACTGCCGGAATTATAACCGGTTTTTATCTAGGAGTTATATAGTTAACCACCACCAGAGGACAGAGAACCCGTTTTCCAGTCCTTGAAATTAGGAGGGGTTGTGAAGCTTCAAAAGCTACCTGAAAGTTGCCGAGCACAAGCTATATACATGCCTACCTCAATATGGAAGGCAACTTGGTCATCCGTTACTTCTACCGAAAATTATAGTCTTAATAAAAATGTTATTTTAAACAGGAGTTTCTGATTTGTCTGGGCTGGTCCTTGATATTCTTTATTCGAATTTTGTTCAAACTCAACAAAGAATGGGTCACCTGTGCCTAACCCGCGAATACCCTGGGTACTAGCCTTGAGAAACCAAGTGTACATGAGAGGGAAACGACAAGGTTGAATTGACGATAGTGCAAGCTACCTTGTAATCAGAAACGACTGGTGAAATACTGCAATGGCTACTCTCGATGATAACTGGCAGACAAAACACCCAACCATCAGCGAGAGAACTAAATTTATTTTCAATAACGAATTATTAAGTGATGTGAAGTTTGTAGTTCCTGCGTTGCACAACGAAAGTGAAAGCCGGAAGTACATTCCAGCTCACAAGTTTATACTTGCAATCAGCAGTCCTGTTTTCTATGCCATGTTCTACGGTGAAATGGCAGAGACTGCAGGCGCTGTTCAACTGCCTGACTGTGATTATGAGAGTCTTTTGGAGTTGTTTCGTTTTCTGTACAGCAATGAAGTGAACTTGAGCGGAAGTAATGTCATGCAAGTTCTCTACTTGGCAAAGAAATACCTTGTACCTTCACTCGCCGATAAGTGCACTGAATATCTTCAGAAACATCTAGAGGCGTCGAATGTGTTCTCCGTTCTGCCGCAAGCCCAGAAATTTGAGGATAAAGATTTGGAAGAACGGTGCTGGGAAGTTATAGAGACGCACACCGAGAATGCTCTGACGTCGGAAGAATTTGTCACGCTTGAGAGATCTGTTGTTGAGTCTGTCGTGAAAAGGGAGAGATTGAATGTAAAGGAAGTGGATTTATTCAAGGCAGTTGATCGCTGGGCAACCAAAGAAGTTGAAAAGCAACGGCTTACCCCTGGAGGGAAGGTTAAAAGAAGGATTCTTGGAGAGGAAATTGTGAAAGCGATAAGGTTCCCAGTGATGTCGCAGAAGGAATTTGCTTCGATTGTTGTGGATTGTGACATTCTGACTAAAAAGGAGATTGGTTTCATGATGAAACACTACGGTGGTGTCGGTTTAGAGTCGTCTTTACCATTCATGCTTTCCCCCAGACAGTATGGAACTGGGCCTTTGCATCGAGTTTATAGATCTGCAATGCACAGCGCAACCTGCTGGCCGTGCAAGGGTTTCCTGAAAGATGCCCTCGGCGTTAGTGTCAGTAAACCTGTCAAGTTACAAGGAGTACAGCATTTTGGTAGTAGAGGTGGCGAATACACAGTTTCCTTAGAAGTACAGGATACAATAAATAGTTTTTCTCTGGTAAAACAAACAGGCACGTATTTCTCCGAGAGAGATGAGACACACTTTTACAATGGATTTGATGTCATGTTTGATCACCCAGTTTGTCTTGAGATGGGTAAAGCGTTATCTTTGTTTTTGATTAATGGGAAAGAATCTGTCGAGGCTCTTGGAATCCAGTTTTCATTTAGCAATTCAGCTGCTTCTAGTAATGGAACTAGAGTAAAAAGTGGCCAGTTTCCTGCGCTTATTTTCAGCACAATGTAGTACAGTTTTTAAAATCCCTTGATCGATGATATTGCATTTGTTGATCGTTTGAAGTGGTATACCGTTCGCAAATTTTTGATTTAAGGAAAAAACCTAATCAAGCAAACTAAAATTTTTTAGGAGTAAAGGATACTATGCTCTACCAATTCCTCCTTAATTCCCAGACTACCACCTGTTGTTAGTCTTGTTAGGGTACTTGCAGAATTCAAGTGACACACTGGTCAGCCGGAGCCAGGAATGATTTGAAAAAAATATTAAAATACAGTTGAAACTCTCCACAACGGTCACCTTGGGAACAGGTGAAAGTGACCGCTGTAGAGAGATTTAAATAAGAGTCTCAGTGTATGGACTGTCCGCCAAAAAAGTGGCCGTTGTACAGAGGTGGCCGTTAGTGGAGGTTTATCTTTAGAGCCTGTTAGACCCGAGCATAATCGCATGTTAGTTCTCAGCTGTCAAGTAAGAAAAGTAAATGTTTTTGATGACTGATTTGTAAGACTTATTTGATATTTAAAATTCGTAAGAAAATCGGTGCAGAAATAAACTGGTCTATCTGTGAAAACGCCGTTGCTTCACAAACGAGTTGCTCGCTCCATGTTATGGGCTCCTAGTGACAATGACCGATTCTCTCTTCTTTTTCACAGTTAGTAGGGTGGCACCCTTACAAAGTAACCAGTGCAGTACCTCATTTTTCTTCTCACACTTTTGCCCTTGTTTCTCGCCTGCTATGTCGACAAAAATGAAGAAGCCTTGCAGTCTAGTTAGTCTAGATTGTCTGTGTTTAGTTTGAGGGGTGTGCGCCGGGGCACTTTATAGGCGTGACTTTATCCTCAAAACTAGTCTGGAATTATTCGATCTTGCCAAAAAAGAACCCCTAGGCCCGTTTCAAACGTTGTGCTACTACCGTGCTAAACGAAATTGATCGAATTAAATTCGACTTTAGCACGGCAAGCTTTGCCGTGCAACACGGTAGTAGAGTAGCTCAACTTGGTTTCAAACGTCGCGCTACTGCCGTGCCGAACTCAATTCATAAATCATGAATACATTAGAATATATTTAAAAGTTTGCTAAATCGTTTCTTTATTTTTGTTCTTTGTTTTCGGCAACAGCCGTTCTATTCGACTGAAATAAATTCGACGTCTGAGACCAAGTCGTGCTATTGTCGTGCTGCACTCGAGCTACAGTAGCACGACACTTGAAACAGGCCGAAAATATTTAAATTTCCATGACTCTCTATTGACGAAGTTAGTTGAAGATTGCGGAAATATTAATGCTAATACTGCACGAAAAAAACTGTGGACGACACAAGTGGCAATGTAACAACCTAGTCATTTGGTGATAAAAATGGCATGTCAGTAAGCCCTTTGCGGGCTTCAGAGATGAGCAAAGGTTATGATGATCAAAAACGTGCAATTGTTAAGAAAATTTCTAACGTTTATCTGTATAGTGACTGTTTGCTCAGACCGGAAGTGAACTTTTTTGAAGAATTCATGATAGCAGAACAAGGAAGTATTCTTTGAGGGCATAACCTAGAAGCCACTGTTTAGCTGCGTTTGTTTATCCACCGGTTTAACCCATTTTAAGTTGTACCGAGCCTAAACATTCTATTCAGTTACTTTGTTTGGACCTACTTGTTCTTTCCCTCACTTTGCACTGCGCGTCGCAAGTTATGGGCTTCTCGCATCGCATGCTCGGCACTGCTCATAATATTGCATTAAAGTTGATAGCGATTATCGACGGCCGCCTGAGGGAGGTAACAAAGCCCATTTTTGTAATTATAACTTCTCCTGGTTAAAAAGGCGTCGTCTCGAAACTCGCCTCAGTCCCCTCGCGTAATATAGTCATTTGAGAGTGGAAATAGTCCCTTTCAGTCTGAAAAGAGGACGGTGATCCAACCAACCTTTTTATCAGTGTAGTTTAGTCATAACAGCTTCAAAATATAAGATATTTTAAGAAGAAAAACAATCTGGATAGTTCTAAAAGGGAAGGAATTTGGGAAACCGGCAGGATAAACAGAGGCAGGAGCCAATAGAGGTAATTAATATTAATATGCAGCAATGCTTGACAGCTAAAAAGGGGTGGGACCATTAATGCAAGGTACAGGAGACAGAACTTGTGAAACTCCTGTCTCCTCACCTCCTCCAAAGGAGGACCTGAATGGGTTTTTAACCGTTTAGTGTGTTTGGCCCATATTTTTTAGCTTATATGTAATACCTTAAACAGCTAAGAAATTAAATAAGAAAAGAAAGGTCCATTTGTTACAGAAAATTTCAGTACAGTCTAACCTCTCCTTACGGACACCTCTATAATATGGACAGTTGGACGTTTGGTCCCAGAAATGCCAAAAATCATATATTCCCCACCTCTATAATACGGACACCTCCGTAAAGCGGACACTTGGTTCTGTCTCTTTGGTGACCGTATTAAAGAGGTTTGACTGTATTGTTTTTTCTTCTGGCTTACAGCCAAATCTATGATTTTATGGAGAAAGGGCAATAAACTTTGATTGTTACAGGACACAGAATCTGAAGGTGCCTATTTCCTCAGTAACCCGCTGCTCGCTTGAGTGACAAGCGTTTCCGTGCAGTTTCCGAGCAAAGAACGAGGAAGGAGAGTCAAAGACTGCGCAAAAAATGGGGCTCGCTATCGTTCCATTTTTCGCGCGGCAAAAACTGAAAATTCCGTTCCTCGGTCTTTCTTTGCTCCGGAACCAAACAGAAACGCCTGCTACGTAGACTAAGTAATTAATGGTCGACAGAATTATAGCCTGTTGATCTCTATCAGGATTATATCGTTAACCGCCACCAGAGGACACTGGTCTCATTATGCAGTTCTTGAAATCAGGTGCCTGGTGGAGTTGGAAGGTGGTGGCCATGGTGGCTTCTGAAGTTACTCAAAAAAGGTGCCGATCACAGTCTATACACATTCGTACCTCAAAATGAAAGGCATCTTAGTCCTCTGTTACTTCTTCCGAAAATTTTAGGTTGAATAAAGACGTCATTTTAAACACGGAATTACTGCTTTGTCTGGTCTGGTCTGGCCCTATTTGGTATTCTTTATAAGAGTCTTCTTCAAAATCAAAAAAAGAATGGGGAACTCGTGCCAAACCCGAGAAAACCCTGGGTACTAGATTGGGAAACGTACACCTGAGAGGGAACGAGAGTGCAAACAAATTAAACTTGTATTAATCGGAAGGTGCAATCACTGCAATGGCTACTCTTGATGATAACTGGCAGACAAAACGCCCAACTATCAGCTAGAGAACCACATTTATTTTCAATAACGAATTATTAAGTGATGTGAAATTTGTAGTTCCTGCGTCGCATAACGAAAGTGAGAGCCGGAAGTGTCAGAAGTGCATTCCAGCTCACAAATTTGTGCTTGCAATCAGCAGTCCTGTTTTCTTTGCCATGTTCTACGGTGAAATGGCGGAGACTTCAGGCACTATTCAACTGACTGACTGTGATTATGAGAGTCTCTTAGAGTTGTTTCGTTTTCTGTACAGCGATGAAGTGAACTTGAGCGGAAGTAATGTCATGCAAGTTCTCTACTTAGCAAAGAATTACCTGGTACCTTCACTCGCCGATAAGTGCACTGAATATCTCCAAGAACATCTAGAGGCGTCGAATGTGTTCTCCATCCTGCTGCAAGCTCAGAAATTTGAGGATAAAGATTTGGAAGAACGGTGCTGGGGAGTTATAGAGACGCACAGCGAGAATGCTCTGACGTCGGAAGAATTTGTCACGCTTGAGAAATCTCTTGTTGAGTCTGTTGTGAAGAGGGAGAGGTTGAATGTAAAGGAAGTGGATTTATTCAAGGCTGTTGATCGCTGGGTCACCAAAGAAATTGAAAGACAAGATCTGACTTCTGATGGCAAGGTCAAAAGAAGGATTCTTGGAGAGGAAATTGTAAAGGCAATAAGGTTTCCAGTGATGTCGCAGTCGGAGTTTGCTTCGGTTGTTGTGGATTGTGCCATTCTGACTAAAAAAGAGATTTGTTTAATGTTGAAACACTACGGTGGTGTCGTTGTAGAGTCTTCTTTGCCATTCATGCATTCCTCTAGAACTGGGCTTTTGCATCGAATTTACAGATTTGCTGTAGTAAACCCCCCCAGAATGCCTGATGGTCCCTGGCGCTACACTCATGGTCATTCTGATGCTCTCAATCTAACTGTCAGTAAGCCTGTCATGTTACATGGAGTGCAGCATTTTGGTAGTGAAGGTGGCAAATACACAGTTTCATTAGAAGTGAAAGATGTGATGAATGGTTTTTCTCTGGTAAAACAAACAGGAACATATTACTCCAAGAAAGATGAGACAAATGGCAGAAGTGGTTACTATGGATTTGATGTCATGTTTGATCAACCAATTTGCCTTGAAGCGAGCAAAGCTTATGACATTGTATCTCTTATCAAAGGTCCACATTCGTGGCATGTGACCAGGGGGAAAAAGTCTGACGAAGTTCAAGGAATCCAGTTTTCATTAAGCCATTCACCGGCTTCTTCAAATAGAACCGGTGTAGATGATGGCCAGTTTTCTGCATTTATCTTCGACAAAATGTAGTTTAATTCTTAGCTGATGATATAATTGTTACTTTATCAACAAGGTGGAACTCTGCAAAATAATGTCATTTTGTTATTTAGGGGAAAACCTCATCAAACAAGGCAGATTCTCTTAACGAGATACCAGGTCTGTGCACACTTCAGCTAATCTAATTTTTCATTTTTCTAACAAAAACGGAAAAAGGACATATGACTTATCCTTATCATATTTACATATTTTAAAGTACAGAAAAAAAATAGAACAACAGAAAAAGTTCTGGAAATTCGATCATTTTCTCATTCAGTTTCTTGATACTGTAAACGACTAAAAGCGATACTTTGCTATTTTTTTAGTTTTTCGTTGTTGTAAGAAAAGTGAGAAAAGTGAAATAATCTCCAATTCCTAGCTCATTTTTCTATTTTTCTGTTTTTCCCAAAAAATAGAAAAACGGAGTCTTAAGAG